AAAAGGGGTCCCTATGTCCTCCAGCAGTCTAACCCTATAGCAGCACAAATGCAGAAAATAGCTCAGGATATTCAAAGTGTTTTGGATGAGGTCTGGGTTGACTCAAATGGGCTTGAACATAGATCTAGATGAGCTATAAACAGTAGTCTAGTTGTAAAAAAAGAAGGGAATGTTTTCTTTTTAATGGAAGCATACGTAGCCTAATTAATATAGTCTATTATCCTGAAGCAATATGCATGGTTTGGTATCACAGCAGCTTCTGATTGGGTGGGATATGTTCTTATTATAATAAAAAATTACTGGTTTATGAAACTTAGTTCTAGATTATTTCTTAAATTAGAAAAAAACTTCATGCTAGAAATATGTGAAAGTAAAAAAATAGAGCCTATTTTAGTTTCCTAATCATCTCTCAGATCGCAAACAAAAATAAAAAATCTAAAGACTTTTTTTCTTGAATTGAGGAGTTTGAGTGAGATACTTTACCAATGGAACTAGACAATTTACATTTAAAGTAAAGGTTGTTCTTGTCTTATTTTAAGTGCATTTATCTAACTGAGTTAAATACTCTTTCCATTAGCAGATCATCTTATTTACCTGCTTAAATTAAGAGTACATGCACGTAAGACATTTTAACCAATATCAAGCTTGGATGGACAAGATTGTTTTAGTTAGGATGTTTTGTTTTTTCCATTTTTAGTTTGGAATTCATGAAAAGAAATGGGTCTCTGCTGCACTGAACTGATTCCAAATGAAAGTATTTCTTTTTATGTTTGAAGCAGCGACTAAAAGATGGATTTAACTTAAGATGTTTTTATCTTTTTCTGCTCTATCTTCAGGTCACAGGTGGAAGCAGGGAATGTGGTCCAAGGAGGAGATAAACATCCTGATCGACAACATCGACCAGTACATGAGGGTACTTTGCTCGCCCTTACCACGCCGCACCTGCCTTTTTAAACGTGTGACCATCATCTCTGTCCTCTTCATCAGCGCCGCGGCATCCAGGATCCAGCCGAGATCATTTTTGAGATGTCTAAAGAGGAGAGGAAGGATTTCTACCGCTCTGTGGCGCTGGGCCTGAACCGGCCGCTCTTCGCCGTCTACAGGAGAGTTTTACGGATGTATGACGACAGAAACCACGTCGGCAAGTAAGTCCGAGATCAGAACAACTTTATGGAAAGCCGTTTGGTTCAATTACTCATCATTTCTAACACGTAGAAAACACGTCAATGACACGTATTTTGGGTGTTGCTAACGTGTCGTCTTCGCCTATCAAGTTAAAGCGTTAAGAACGCGTCGACTTCGCATCAAATACGCGTTGATTTCATGTGAATATGAGCCATTCGGCCACTGGTCTAATTTGCTGCTCGTCTCCTATTTCCCATTGGCTGCTGAGGAGTAGAGTATGGCAGGCCGCTTTGACATTTATTAGCTTGACTTAACATGTAATCCAGATGTCTCGAATGTACGGAGCCCCTAAAGGGACATAGAGGGAAAAACAAAACTTTGCGAGATCCCGCAACAGTTTTGCGAGATCTCGGAAAAGTATTGGGGGATCTCGCAAAAGTTTTATTTTTTCGAGATCTCGCTAAATTTTTTCCCTCCATGTCCCTTCAAGGGCTCCGTAGGATTGCATACTGACCTTGTCTCTCTTCATTTATCTAATGTCGTGTTTTGGGACTTCTCTAGAAATTAAGAACCTCTCCAAATCATCCTCCATGGTTGTAGCTGACGCATGGGCGTATTATCCTTCCATAGCAGCACACTTTGCGCCTCCACTGTTGTGTGTCTGTTTTACTTCTGGTTAGCTGCCATGGCAAAACGTTTTGCGAGATCTCGCAAAAGTATTGCGGGATCTCGCAAAAGTTTAGGGGCTCCGTACAAATGCATTTCTTCTTAGTCAAAATTAAAATTTCAGATATCTGAAATGTAATTCTTACGTCACATTTCTTATGAATTCTGACGAGGAAGAACTCTAATGTCAGATCTCAGTAATAGAATTACTACCAGTCATCATGAAATTTTCAGATATCAAAAATGAATATAACATTACAGATATATCCAATTCTTCACATCAAAATTAATTCCCTAAATTAATAATTCTGAAATCTAAAACGCAGTTTTAGATACTTGCAAAAGAATAATGAGGCTCCGTTTATCATAAAATAGGCCGGCTGACTAGTCACATTTCTATTATAGATAGCAATAAAGCATTCTACCTAGTCACAATAAAAATTTTCCCAGTCAGAATTGTATTATAGAGTTAGGGCCAGAAATATTTGGTCAGTGATACAAGTTTTGTTATTTTAGCTGTTTACAAAAACGTTCAGAAATACAATTATATATATATAATATGGGCTGAAAGTGCACACACCCAGCTGCAATATGAGAGTTTCCACATCCAAATCGGAGAAAGGGTTTAGGAATCATAGCTCTGTAATGCATAGCCTCTTCTTTTTCAAGGGACCAAAAGTAATTGAACAATGGACTCTAAGGGCTGCAATTAACTGAGAAGGCGTCTCCCTCGTTACCCTGTAATCAATTAAGTAGTTAAAAGGTCTGGGGTGGATTCCAGGTGTGTGGTTTTGCATTTGGAAGCTGTTGCTGTGACCAGACAACATGCGGTCAAAGGAACTCCAAATTGAGGTGAAGCAGAACATCCTGAGGCTGAAAAAAAAATTAAGACATGCTTGGAGTAGCAAAATCAACAGTCGGGTTCATTCTGAGAAAAAAGGAATTCACTGGTGAGCTTGGGAACTCAAAAAGGCCTGGGCCTTTTTGACTTCCTGGGCCTTTTTGACTTTCTTTTTGACTTTTTTTGGTGAAGAAGAACCCGTTCACACCATCAACTGAAGTCCAGAACACTCTCAGGGAAGTAGATGTATCTGTCTCTAAGTCATGTAGTCGACGCTTTCTTACCGTGTTAACTACATGGCGAAGACAACACGTTAGCAATGTGCAAACAACGCACAAAATACGTGTCGTTGGCATGTTGTCTACGTGTCAGAAGTCATGTATAATTGAACCAAATGGCTTTCCATATGACTTTTACCAGTTCCGGGGTCCCAGTGCTAACTGGTCCTTTCCCTCCCTTCTTAAGGTACACCGCAGAGGAGATCGAGAAGCTTAAAGCGTGAGTGAAAGTCGGTCCAGGGCGAACCGAAGCGCCTGAGGAACTTTCTCAGGTTTAACCGTTTGTTTTCAGGTTGAGGGAAAAACACGGGAACGACTGGGCGACCATCGGAGCCGCCCTGGGGCGCAGCGCCTCCTCCGTCAAAGACCGCTGCCGTCTGATGAAGGACACGTGTAACACGGGTAAATGGAGCGAGGAGGAGGAGCGGCGTCTCGCCGAGGTCGTCTACGAGATGGCGGGCGTGTCGCCGGGGTCGGCGGTGACGGCCGGCGTCTCCTGGGCAACGGTCGCAGATCGAGTTCGCACGCGCTCAGAGAAGCAGTGCCGATCGAAGTGGCTGAACTACCTGAACTGGAAGCACAGCGGGGGGGCGGAGTGGACGAAGGAGGACGACCTGAACCTCCTGCGCAGGTCGGAGATGAATTCATCAGCAGGCGGTGAGCGGTTTAAACCGTCGGGTGAGTAAAAATATCCGCTGATTTCTGCAGGATCTCCATGGTGAAGGCGGAGGACGAGAACGACATCAAATGGGAGGATCTGGCGTGGGGGTGGAGCAGCGTGCGGTCGCCTCAGTGGCTGCGGTCCAAGTGGTGGAGCATCAAAAGACAAGTCGCCAACCACAAAGACATCCCCTTTAGCAGTAAGCAGACATCCAGTCACTGTGGCTTTGATTTGGGCTTTTAAACATCGAGTTGAACCGACATCTTTGTCCTGGCTGGAATAACTGCCATATAAATAAACATATATATATATCTATATATATATAGATATATATATATACCATATTGACCTGAATATAAGACAAGGTTTTTTTTTAATTAAAATCGATGTGTAAACGTGCGGTCTAACCAGTTATACAGGCTGTCAGTCATCTGGTGTCGCTACACGAACCAAACAGCAGAGGGCGCCAGTTTTTTTTTGTAAAGTCAGTGACCTCACTGTGGCTGGGATTATCTTTCTTTCACAGCAGAGAAGAAATGAAAAGCATGGATGAAATTTTGATTCCAGCAGCAGGGCAGACGGAAGTATTTTTTAATTTAACTGGTGTTCGACCGTCCAATCACAGACCAGATTCAGTGGCGCATCAGATGTTTGTAAAGTTAGCTTCTCAGGAGTGACAGCGGCGACAGCCAATCACACAAGAAAAGACGGTCGGCCAATCAGGAGTTTCTGGATGGTCTAAACTCAAGGAAGCTGGTTTCAGTTTCAGCTGCAGTTTTTCGATTGGTCCTAGTGCTCGACAGATGTCTGTGTACTATAGCATAACATTGTTTTTGGACAGTAAAAAGTGCAGGGGACATGCCCCCCCCCCCCTAAATCACGTCCATGGTGACGAGGATGCAACAAATTGAGAGTGGCTGGCAGAAGGCAGTGGATTAAAACTCAGACTTGTTTGCAGACATTTGAGGCGGAGTATGACGCCAATTTAAAAATAATGGTGGTCAATGCAGCAGAGGAATCTAACAGCTGTCAGGTAGAAAAGAAATACGGAGTTACAGAGTGCAATGTCAGAAGATGGCACGCTAAAAAAAAAAACTGAAAAATGCAAACAGCGAAAGAAAAGCTTATCGATAAATAGCAGAGCTGCAGGGTCAGAGTGACAGCGAGGTAGAGGATGTCTGTGAGGAAACGCCTCATGCAGGGTTTTCAGACGTTCCGTGAGCAAAGTTCAGATTTTATTCTTGTTAAAGTGTTGTGAGATTTAAATAAAATTTGTCCATCCATCCGCTGTCATATTTATCCCTGCTGGGGTGGGGAGGGGTGCTGGTGCCTCTGTCCACCATGGACAGGTCTCCAGTCCATCGCAGGGCAACACAGAGAGAAAAAGGACAAACAACCATTCACACTGTTAAAAGAGGAAGTTATGTCCCCTAAAAAAGCTGTTGCGCCTTGGGGGCTTCCTCACGGTTCTTGTCCCGGGAGCAAGTTATTTACTACTCTTAACTCAAACTGGGTAAAACCGTGAAAAAAGGACTATAAAAACAGGAGTAAAAAAGGACAGAGTTTATTCCAGATCAGGTCGTTACAGGACAGAGAAAATGCTTGGAGCTGCACAGCTGTGGGCTCAAAAATCACGTCCGCGGGCGTCCGGCAAAGATTGAGCCCCGAACAAGGTCATCTCCTGCTTCTTATAGCTCATGAGTCTATGTGTTGCATCATGTTGATGTTTAGCTGTCCGTATCAGAAACTAACACGCCATCCATGTCTTGAGCTTCATGCAGCTTGCCTCTATGCCTCAGGGTTAGAGGCATAGACACCCGGAGAGAACCCACGCATGCTCAGGGATAACATGCAGACTCCATGCAAAAAGACCCTCGGCCAGGAATTGAACCCAGAACCTTCTTGCTGCCGGGCAGCAGTGCTACCCACTGCTCCGCAGAGCAGCCAATTAATCAGTGTCATCACTGTTTTTTATTTATTTTTTACTTTTTATAGTTTAATTGCAAAAATCTTTCAATGCAAGACTATCTCGTTAGAATTGTTCAATATGAAATGTTACTTTAAACGAAATAAATTTGGTTTATTAGTCCTTTTTTTTTGTTTCTAAAAACTGGTCCTGGAAAGAGGAGGTGGTCTATTAATCAGGGTGGTCTTATATTCGGGTTATTACGGTATATAAAGTCAACCTTTTCTTTTAAGATCCCTGTTAGATGATCAGTCCAACCTGGAAGGTTCTGATCGATGGTTAACGCCTCAGATTTACTCGCACAGTTCTGCCCCCGCTGATGCCGCTGTGTTTCTAACAGTCCTCCTGAAGGGCCTGGAGGAGCTGATGACGTCTTCACACGCCGCGTCTCTACCTGGAAGCCCCTCCTCTTCCTCGCTCCAGATCCGACTCGCCCGCTTGGACGAGAGCAGCAGCTGCAGCCCCGCCCCCGGCTCCTTGGCGGCGCTGCAGATTCCAGTCCAGATCCCGCTGCAGATCACCCACCTGTGTGAGGCTCCGCCTTCCGTCCAACAGACCCAGCAGTGAGGAGACGTTCGCCGTCCCTCCTCGCCTTCTGACCTTCTGTCTGTGTTTGCAGCAGCTTCAGACTCGGCCGCGGCTGCAGACGGAGACGCCATCGCTCTGAACTCTGGAGCGCTGCAGACCTTCGAGATCCTGCCGGTGAGTCTGACCCAGAGGATCCGTCAACTAAGATATTGATTCTAATGAATTTCTCAGCTTTTTGTTGGAATTTATCAATCATTAAAAAGTGCAGATTACATAGAAATACTGGTGTTAGATTCAGTTGATGAAATATAAGAAAAGATGTTTTATGGTTCCCAACAACAATTAAACTCTTTCAGTTACTTTATTATCAAGAATTATTAGTTCTGATGATTAAGATTTAAATAAATTATTGATCATTTATCAACATCCTTTTAATGTTTTTGTGTCGATTATTTCCTGAATCAAAAATATTTTTATCGTTGGGAAACAAAACTGGTTGCAGCTCCTTGATTGGCCAAATCTTAGAAGAATGGCCCCCAGTATGGCCCCCTGTGGGACCCCACATGTGAATTTATTTGTTTCTATCAGAAACCTTCAGTGTTTTATAGAATATCCTATAATCTGTATTAATCTAAAATCCAGTAATCATATCAAGTCTGAATCGTTGCACCTAACTGGAGATTATTACTTTATAAATGATGAACTGGTTGTTTTCCAGTCCTTCCACCTGCAGCCCACAGGCACCCCAGGAACCTACTACCTCCAGACAACGTCCAACCAGAGCCTCCCTCTCAGCTTATCCAATAACAGCACTGTAACCCTGACGACAAGCTCCTCCCCCTCCCCCCAGGAGCACATCATCCTTCACAGTCTGTCGGTCAGTCTCCTGTCCCTCCGACGCTTCTCTGTCCTCCTGTTTGTCTGTTTTCATGTTTGTATTCCTCCCTCCCAGACCGACGGCCTCTGCTCCGGAGACGGCGTCATCATCCAGACCGTCTCCTCTGACCCCGCCTCCTCAGAACCGCAGCTGGTTGTGGAGACGGAGGAGGAGGGGCAGGACCAGCACCTCAATGTGGCATCTCTCCTGGAAGACTCGGAGGCCGTCGTCATGACGACTGAGTCAGTAGCTGAAGTTTATGCAGAGAAGGTATGTGGAACCGCTGTAGCTAACAGATCTGCTCGGGTCCTGCTTCCTGCCAGCGACGTTACGCCACAGGATTGGCTAAACGTTGCCACATGGTGTCAAACATTTTGGTTTCCCAGACAACAATAATAACATCACCATGATATAAAAGGGGGAAAGCTGGGTAGCGCTGTGGCTAGCTGTGCTCAGTAGCTAACAGGTTAGCCTATTTTAGCTCGGTCAGTTAGCCATATGAAGCTACACTACTTTTAACTTTGTGTCAACAAAAAAGGTTCGTTTTCTTCAAGTAGAATGACCGCACAACGAATACGAAAGTCATTTTTAAAGATGTTCCATTTTTCCTCTTCTGCCCTGAGATCTTAAAGTCGTTGGGAAGCGGCCGTTCCAATTGTTTCATTTCCGAATCCTTTTGAGTGGTGCACGACTTTGTCGTTTATTAAGGGGGCGGGAACGTTTGACGGAAGGTTTGCAAGCAAGTTTGGTTGTGGCCGGTTTGTTGGAAGCATCTTGCTAACCAGTTAGCAACTTAGTGCTAGCAGGTTCCCAATGGGAAATTCCATTGGGACCAAGTAGCACTAAATTGCTAACCAGTTAGCATCTTAGTGCTAGCAGGTTCCCAATGGGAAATTCCATTGGGAACCTGCTAGCACTAAATTGCTAACCAGTTAGCATCTTAGTGCTAGCAGGTTCCCAATGGGAAATTCCATTGGGAACCTGCTAGCACTAAATTGC